AGATGGTTGTGTGTGAAAATCCCAGTAGATCCACGTTCAAAGGCACTCAAATCACCTTTCTTCCCCATACTGATGCTCGGTTTGAACTGCAGGAGATTGTCTTGACCATGTCTACATGCCTAAATGCACTGAGTTGCCACCATGTGATTGGCTGATTAGAAATTAAGTGTTAACGAGCAGTTGGACAGTTGTACCTAATAAAGTGGCCGGTGAGTGTATATTGCAAACAATGAGATTTGAATTTACAGTAATATTTTTATGACATTTTGTGTTAAATTCCCTCAGCATCATTTGAAACAAAAAATAATTGTTGCATATCTATATAGATTTTTTTWAAATTGTTATGGTTGGATGTCTCTTTATTTAACTACAGGACATCACAAAGACACCAATTTCCAATTCCAAGTCATTTTTCTCTAAAATCCAATAATAACAGAGTTATTTTCCTTCAATCCATAAGGTGTTTTGTTATAATGTCGTTACTGGCACTGAGGTATATAATATAGAATTACCTCAGGCTTTGTAGAGATTTGGTAAAAGCTAGCTAGGTGCTTATGAATTTGCAGGTGCCGTGAACCAAGATGACTTTCCATTTTGCCGGTGATTTATTCTGTTCAAGCCTCTCAACCTAGTAACTCGCTAGTATTTGGAATGAATCATAACACCCTCGCTGATGCTGGTGTATTGCTCACCTGCTAGAGCTTCAAGACTAATCCTGCTGCTTTTTTGCTGCCAACTTTGACATTTGCTGTTGTGATTTCTTCTTGGCTGCATTTTTAAATCAAGATGTTCTGAAATCCTTCTTCTTCTTCTTCTTCTATTTTTTTTATTCCTCCTTTGGTGTGAAGTTGTGAGTTTTAATTATGAGAAAGTTTTAAAACTGGGAATTTTAGAAGTACTGATTCTAAAGTTTGAAGATGATAATAACCAAACTGTGGGAAATCATACGGTATAAGTGTTGTGATAAACATAGATGGCACTTGTTTTGTTGCAGGGGTGGTGTGTAAAATCCAGTGACCCCAACAACTTGAGCATAAATTCAGTTCCCAAGGAGGTTATCCCTGGACAGGTGAATTTTAGTATTTTCACTTGATTTTTTTTTTTTTTTGGGGGGGGGGCTAATTAGCATTTTCTGGAGTCAATTACTAAATGCAATGCAGTGATAATTTCAGGTTTTAATTACAGTATTAAACAGTTTCATTTTTCATGTATGTCTTGGTTTTTCTGCATTCTTGCTGAACAAGAAACTATGCATGGATTGTCTTCATTTCACTGAGTTAGAGGCATGTTAAGTTCTACTCACCTGCTTTGAACATTGCCTGAAGCTGTATGGAGCAACCTTTCTTAAGGAACAAGCACCAAACGCTGCAGTCTTATTCAGTCCTGCAGTGCCCCTTAAGATATTTTAGCAAAATATTCTTTTTTTTATTTAATTCATTTATTCATTTCATTAAAAAGTAAACAAAACATTACACACAATAAAACAATACAATTGAAATAAAATGAAAGGAAGAAGAAAAACAATTATTATGATA